CCATCAGCGCTTTTGCACCCAGCTGGGTCTTGTACCTGTCTTGCCTCACTTGCTCTCCTCTTGACTTCACTTGTACTGTGACATATATATATACCTGCTCTTGCTTGTCTAGTTTTATATATATGTCTGTACTCCTGCATGTGAACTGGCCTCTGGCCCTGCTCTTGTGCTCGGACTGTGTGGTGACTTTGTGATCCACCCTGAGCTTGCTTTGCTTTGCTTGACTGGTCTTGTGACCCCTTGTTCTCCCCCACTTTGCCTATGGGGGTGTGTCAGAGCATTATAGCTGATGCATGTTTGTAGGCTATAGTGGGGTATCACATATGGGGTACAGCTTTCTAGGGTTGTATTTGTACCCAACTCTGACTTAGTCATCATCATTCCTATTTTCCTTGCTTCACATCCTAGTCAATCATTCTTGCACGTTATTTCTGACAGGGTCAATGTGCAGGTTTTGGGCGACTGATGTGCATTACCCACCCCCAACCAATCACTTGGTGATGCGATTCTTGTTTTAGTGTTCTCTTTCGGACAGTCGTCACTCCAGTGTCACCACCGGCAATGTCCCATGTCCTACACCTCTGCACCCAACCACACTGTTAAATGGCCCAATGACACTCGATGTGTCTAGGGTTTCCCACAACGCACTCCCAACATTTGGGGATTCACACCGGAAATTTTTACGATTGGGGTTTTTTTTTTTTTTTTTTTTTTTTTTTTTTTTTTCTATGGGTGTCGTGTGGTGTCACATGGTGGGTTCTTGCCATTGGGGGGGACGGGGTCCCGCATGCTATTTGTCAAAAAGGCGCATGTCGCCATTCCGAGGGTCACAAATGCTCGCATGACCCAAGGTGGCGTCTTGTATATTTTAGGTTATTCGCGTTTGTCGCATGACCCAAAGTAGCCCAATGATCCAAACTGAGATACGGTACGCATACGCGACGCCACGTCGAAGGTTTCAACATGACACTAGTGAAATCATAGACGCAATGACTCAGATACTACTTCAGCATTTGACTTGCCGCATGTAAATGAGTCTTCCTCTAGTCCTGGCGTCCTCAAGTATGGCTGTTGTGGAACATGTGCTGTCTTTTTTTAAAAGCTGCCTCCTGTCACAAAGTACCCTACAATGGTTCCATTGCAAGTTTCCCAATCACACGATACAATTTCAGCGTGTAAGAACACTTCTTATGCAGTATTGCACAGGATAGCATATGGGTCTGCAATACATGCGATGGAATATAAATGGTCCTAGATAGCAATGTACTTTGAAGGAGTACATCCCCTTGGTGATTGCTCAAATACCGTGTTGGAAACAACTAACTTAAGCGCCTCTGCCGTGTCGAAACACCAAGTTAGAAGCGAAGCACAACATATCGAAGCATCAGCGAGTCAACCCTCGGAGGTTGAACAACTGCTGGAGGTTACGCGAAAGTCAATGGTCAGCGACCTTTGACCTGACAAATACAGCACGACCCAAGGACAAACAACTGACTCGCTATTGAGCAGTTGCCCGAGTCGTCACTGTATCGAACCGCAACAGCAATAGTAAAACGGTTACCGTCATACCCCGGATATACCCCCATGGGGAGCAATAATAAAGCAGGTTTTTTTAGGGGGGTGGGCTTAGAATCGAGTAAATTTATAAGCGCCGGCGTTTATAAAATGACATCTATGTTTTTATATATTTTTGAACACCAAACTGTAGATCTCGTGCTTGCCTTTTCAATCGAGTCGAAGTTACATGGAGTCGTCTGTGAAATTCTCGCGCGCGCAGGGAGGTACACCCAATCTGACTCACCATGACAGCTCTTGCTGACTGGACCCGAATCCAGTGCAGGGTCCGAATGTGAAGGGAACCGAATCTGCAAAACATCTGCCTGCTAAAGTAGAAATCGTTAAATCGTTTTGAACACATTTCAAAAAAATAAGTTTACGTGCGCTTATAATAAAACAAGTTTTTTCAGGGGGTGCGCTTATAAAAGAGCAGGGGATATAAGCGCCACACGCCAATTAAAAGCGCCAGGCGCTTATCCGAGGGTGGCGCTTATATCCGGGGTATGACGGTATTAGTTATAACCCTTCATATTCTCTTGTACTCTTATAAAAAGCTTGTATCTCTTTGTTATTAATCAATCTACTTTGCCCTCACATACTAGCGCAAGGTGGTACACAACTCTTCATTAAACGCTTCCACTATTAAATCAGTTCTACCAGGAGTTTAGTCCTGCAAAGATCCTAAGGGCTTACTCAGCCCAACATACCACACCACGTCTTCATTGGCCAGATGGCTGCCCTTGATATAGCACTAAACTGTCTTCCTCTCTTTGCCCTCATCTGCGCTGGAGACTTTTCATTACGGAGAGACAATGAAGCTGCTTCACGAATCGCAAATGCAAGGAGTGTGAGGGCAGCAGCAGTAAAGAGGCTGAAAGCAGCAGCTGTGAGTGTGGAAAGGCGAGAAGCAGGCTTGAGAGGAGGAGGGGCAGGAGGGGTCTGGGTGGAAGCAGATGACGGCTGAGGCACTGGCGATGCCGGTGCTGCAGTTAATTTCGATGCTGAATTTGATTCCGGTGCTGCTGCGGGTGCTGGAGCTGCTGTGGGTGCTGCCCCTGAAGCATGGGACAGAATCACATACAGTGGCAGATAGACACATACCACTCAACTACCAGCACACAGAAGCTGCATGCACATATGTATGTCATACTTATACACCCTTGTGCAACACATCTTCTAAAATAACCGAGACATTTAAAGTAATGTGCATACATATGCACAGCATGCACCTGGGGGTGCAGGCAAGCAAGCATCCACACACAGCAAGGCACGGCACGTACACTTGAGGGGCGTGCAGGAGGAGCAGAAGGAAAAGCAGAGGCGGCAGAAGGAGGAGGCGTTGCTCTGCTTCACCCCACACTCGCTGCCGTCTGCCGGGCAGGTCAGCCCCGAGCCAGAGATGTTGCTGGCAGTGAGGGGGGTGGAGAGGGGGGAAGGATGCAGATAGGTGAGGTGAAAACGGGAAAGGTAGAGGGGAGGAGGCAGTGTGGCCAGTGCAACATGCTAATGTGCTGATGATTGTGTGATAATTGCGCAGCACCAGCATCAAAACATGCATGCATGTGGTGGCCTGGCTTCAAGCAACACAGATCTGGCATTTATAAATGGAGGCATGGGTGCATGGGTGCATGTGCGCATGGGTGCATGGGTGCATGGGTGCATGTGCGCATGGGTGCATGGGTGCAGGGCTCACAAGTAATAGAGTTTGTCACGCATGCCAAAGACAGGAGATATGGGACCAGTCAAGTTGTTGCCTCCAAGGCCCCTGCCATTTCATTCCATGCCATGCCATGCCATGCCATTCCACGTTACACCATGCCATGCCATGCCATTCCACGTTACACCATCCCATGCAAAGCCAAGCGACCCACACATGAGTACTTCAGCGAGCAGCCTCGCTGCTTCATAGTGCCTGCAAGCCATTGGCCCCACAGAGTTGCTCAAGGTGATAGATGGAACAGGCATGTATCGCCCTTCCCAAGCCATGCCCCTCCCCCTCTCCCACCATCCCCATCCCCCCCACCCCTCTCGTGATTCATTACAGGGACTCTAAGACGATGGGGAGGGTTGCGGAATCAGGCAGAGGGCCGCTGAGCTGGTTGTTGCTGATGTCACTGGAAGAGGGAGAGGGAGTGGGTTGGGGAAGGGAGGGAGGGGGGTGAAGCACGCACACATGGCGTCAGCACGAGATGCACGGCAGCAGCAAAAGAAGCACGGAAGAAACAAGGGATGCACGGGGAGGGTGGAAGGGATGGGCTTACAGGGCTGTTAGCGAAGGCAGGGTGAAGACGGCAGGGGACACCACTCCAGTGAACTGATTGTGAGAGATGTCCCTGATGGGGTAGGGATGCATTGAGAGAGGGGGAGGAGGGGGAGGGTTGGTTTAAACCAGCACTGCCAGCATAAATTACGCCAGAAACATTGAACGTTGTCAAAGCTGTGACACAAAGGTACGCATTCATGCATGCAGGAGGCAGCTCGAAGGCATTGACCGGATGGCTCACAAGCTGTTGACTGTTGTGAGCGTTGTGAGCTGTGCGGGCAGTGGTCCAGAAAAGTTGTTGGCTGATAGATTGCTGCGAGGAGACAGCAGAGGCGGTTGAGTGGATCACATAGGCTCGTTGCTTGCTTCTAGGCGAACATAATTCAGAGTATGAGAGGAGGAAGGAATAGAAGAAAGAAGAGAAGGAAAGAAGGAAAGAAGGAAAGAAGGAAAGAAGGAAAGAAGGAAAGAAGGAAAGAAGGAAGGAAGGAAGGAAGGAAGGAAGGAAGGAAGGAAGGAAGGAAGGAAGGAAGGAAGGAAGGAAGGAAGGAAGGAAGGATGGAAGGAAGGAAGGAAGGAAGGAAGGAAGGAAGGAAGGAAGGAAGGAAGGAAGGAAGGAAGGAAGGAAGGAAGGAAGGAAAGAAGAAAGAAGGAAGAAGGAAGAAGGAAGAAGGAAGGAAGGAAGGAAGGAAGGAAGGAAGGAAGGAAGGAAGGAAGGAAGGAAGGAAGGAAGGAAGGAAGGAAGGAAGGAAGGAAGGAAGGAAGGAAGGAAGGAAGGAAGGAAGGAAGGAAGGAAGGAAGGAAGGAAGGAAGGAAGGAAGGAAGGAAGGAAAGAAAGAAAGAAAGAAAGAAAGAAAGAAAGAAAGAAAGAAAGAAAGAAAGAAAGACCGAAAGAACAAAACACTTCATGGACCCAGATTTGACAACGAGTTGGGAGAGGCACGAGTGAAGGGAGGGTGCAGGAGACTGGAGTGGGGCTGCAAGGGTGCCCCATGCAGTGGGCCAGTGCGTGCAAGCACCACATTTGGGCGTGGCACAACCTGAAATGAGCACGTACAGTGCGGGGTGTGAGAGGCTGAGATGAGCGTGCAGAAGACCTCTCAGAAGTAAGAGAGCATGCATGCAGCAGGGGTGGGCATGGCACGTGTGCATGCGTACAGCCTTGTGTATTGCGGTGCGGCTAGCATGGCGGAGGGGAAGGGCCCCGTGAAGCTGTTGTTGGATATGTCGCTGCAGAGCGGAGAGAGAGGAGAGGGCAGGCAAGGGGAGGGCGGAAGGGCAGGGGGGCAAGAAAGGAGGACGGGCAGGGAGGGGAGGGCAGGAAGGGTAAGGAAGAAGGTGGGAAGTGAGGGTGGGGAGGCTGCATGGAGAGTGAGGGGATAGGAGTAGGGGGGGAAGGAGGAAGGTTGGGAGGATGTTGAATGTGAGTGTGTGGTGTGCAATGTGAGCAGCAGAGTGAGGGAGCAGAGTGGGGGAGCAGCATGAGTGACGTGGGGTGGGGAGGAGGCGTGTCATACAGTTCGGCAAGGGCGAGCTGTGCGAGGGCAGCAGGGAAGGCGCCAGACAAGTTGCACGACCCGATGTTGCTGTGGGGGAGGCAGGGCAGGGCAGGGCAAGGCAGGGCGGGGGTCAACACAGGAGGGCAGGCAGAGTGGCAGCAAGGAGTTGAGGGTGCAAACGGACTCGGCACGCAGGAGCAAAGGGAAACGAGCAGACTGAGCTGCAATGGAGACGGAGGAGCAGAGGAGGAGACCACGAGGCGAGGGGCACGGCACGGGGCACGGCATGGGGCATGGCACGGGGCACGGCACGGGGCATGGCATGGGGCATGGCATGGGGCATGGCACGGGGCATGGCATGGGGCATGGCATGGGGCATGGCATGGGGCATGGCATGGGGCATGGCATGGGGCATGGCATGGGGCATGGCATGGGGCATGGCATGGGGCATGGCATGGGGCACGGCACAGCGAGAGTGATGCCCGACTTACACCCGCAGGCATGACGCAACGCAACGCAGTGCAATGCAATGCAGCGTGGTGCTCACAGGGTGGAGATGTGGGTCATGTGTGCAAGCACGTCCAGACCACCCGAGAGAGCGTTGTGGCTGATGTCCCTGTGGGGGGTAACGGGCATGGGCATGGGCATGGCATGGCAGGGATGAGGCATGGGGGTGGCAGGTATGGGGTGAGCAGACTTGCATATTTGCAATGGAAGGAAGTGGGAGAGGAAGGTGGGAGGCGGAGGTACCACAGGGGGAAGGGGATTCAGCGGGCTTACACATTTGCAATGTAGGGGGGAGATGGTGATGCCACAGGTGGAATGGAATGCATGGGGCTTACACATTTTCGAGCGCAGGAAGGCTTGCCAAGGATGGTGGGATGGGACCTGACAGATCGTTGAAGCTCAGATCCCTGCCATGAGAAGCGGCGTACAGGGGGGGGGGAGAGAAGGAGGGGAGACGAAAGATGAAGCCAAGATATGAGTGTGTGGTAGGGTGGTGTGCGTGTGGAAGGAAGTGAGTTGGATATGGGGGTTGTTTGGGGGTGTTGTGTTGGGGGCGGTGCATCATCTGACCTACACTTGGTACTGCAAGTTAAGCACAGCCATGACTTGACAGCCGGAAATGAAGGTGGCACGAAGGTGGCACGAAGGTGGGAGATGGAGGTGGGAGATGGAGGTGGGAGATGGAGGTGCCAAAGGTGGGTGGGTTGAAGGGACTCACAGAGTAACAAGGGCAGAAAGGCCTGACAATGATGCTTGAGTGGGCCATGTGAAAAGATTGTGGCTCAGTCGCCTGTGGGACGGGAGAGATGGAGTGGGTCAGACGCCTGTGGACACTTGTGGACGCTCATCAAGAAGTTGTCGCCTCCCATGCATCCCATGCCTTGCATCCCATGCCTTGCATCCCATGCCTTGCATCCCATGCCTTGCATCCCATGCCTTGGATCCCATGCCTTGCATCCCATGCCCCCCATGCCCCCCATGCCCCCCATGCCTCCCATGCCCCCCCATGCCTCCCATGCCTCCCATGCCCCCCATGCATCTCACAAGCCACAACCCGCCACTCACATGTGCTCCATGAATTGCGGGGCAGCAGGAGAGGCGGAGAAGGGGCCCTCCAGGGCGTTGTGGCTCAGCGAGCTGCCCAGAGCAAGCAACGGGGCAATGGGGGGCAACGCAAGGGGGCACAGCAGTTGGTGGGTTATTGGGGAGGGGTGTCCATGCGACGTGGAAAGTCATGCATGTGTGCGCCCGCTGTGCAGGCACGCAGAGAGCATGCACTGTTTGAATCGAATGGACAAGCGCGGCAGGATTGTAGGCAAGCAGAAGAGAGCAGAGAGGATGGCACGGAGCACAGTCCACGAGAACAGACCCTATAGCCCAGTATTCACATGCCTCTCCTCTTCTTCCCAGCCGACCTCTACTCTTGGTTTACTCACAGGCGAACCAGAGACGAGGGCAATACAGGCAGCAAGCCAACCAGGGCGTTATAGGAGAGACCCCTGCAGGCAGGCGGGCAGACAGGCAGAGAGGCACGCAGGCAGTCACGCAGGCACGCAGGCACGCAGGCAGGCAGGCAGGCAGGCGGGCGGGCGGGAGGGCGGGCGGGCGGGCGGGCGGGCGGGCGGGCGGGAGGGAGGGAGGTCGGGCGGGCGGGCGGGCGAGCGGGCGGGCGGGCGGGCGGGCGGGCGGGCGGGCGGGCGGGCAGGCAGGCAGGCAGGCAGGCAGGCGGACGGGCGGGCGGGCGGGCGGGCGGGCAGGCAGGCAGGCACACAGAGCGCGAGGGAGAGATGCTGCACGGTTTCAGGATACAGAATACTAGGCACAACGGCACTGTTGCTGCAATACCGCAACATATGAAGGGTAAGCCACGAGTGTGCTAATGAGAAAGGTGCCCGAGCGGTCATGAGAGGCGTGGCGTACAGCTCTGAGAAGCCAGTGAGGGCGGAGATGGTGGTGGGGTAAAGACGCGAAAGGTCCTGAGGACTCATGGAAGGCGTACAGCTCAGAGAGGGCGGTGAGGGCGGAGATGGCGGCGGGGAGGGAGCCTGAGATGCCGTTGCCCGCTGCCCTCCTGCGATGGGGGGGAGAGTGGGGTGGGATGTGCAGCAGAACAGAGAAGAGAGGCAGGAGTTATTCATGAGCGGGGGGAGCACAATCATATGACACACACAGAGAGGGTGAAAGGGCTGCCGAACAGGCTCGTTCAGATAAAATGAACCGGCTATAATGCTCAATCCTCGCTCGTGACGCGGGTCGACCCGCCGCGTGAGCCTGCTGCTGCTGTGCGTGCGTGCCCCCCTCATGTAGTAGCAGCTGCTGCTGGCACTCTGTGGCCTTGATACACATAAACAAGGTGAATCGTAGGCATCAGCAGAGCGACACACGAGCAGCAGGCAGGGTGACAAACGAGCAGCAGGTACGCAGGCAGGTGGGCGGGCAGGGAGGAGGCAGCTCACAGGGTGTCGAGGCTGGTGAGAGCCGTCCAGTCGGCTGGAAACGGCGAGGAGCGCGGGGGAGAGAATAAGGTGGTGGGACTGTAGGGTGCTGTCACATCCCTGGGGAGAGGAGGGGGAGTAAGGCGAGTGGTGAGGAGAGGGCAAGGTGGTTGATGAGGAGAGAACATAGTGGGTGGTGTGGAAATAGCACGGTGGGTGATGTGCAGAGAGCATGGAGGGTGGATGGTGCAGCGCAATAGTGCAACGGCTTTTGAGGCGCCTCAAAAGTGGGTGGGTGGTGCAGCGCAACAGGGCAACAAGGGGTCGACAACGTGGGAGTGATGTGAGAGGGTTCCTAGAGCCTAGAGGAATGTGAGAGTCGCGCCTGAGACACGAAGAAACGGGGGGAAAGACAGGGTTGGTGGAAATTACAGGTATTGCAGGTGCGGGAGTTGTCCGATCCACGATGGCACGCTGGTGAAACTGAGATAGCTCAGGTCGCTGCTCCACAGGGGAAAGGCGGGAAGGGGCGTGGTTGGTAACGTTGCTGGCACGCACAAGCGATATGAGCTACTTGCCTAATCACTGGGGAGAACATGCATCAGCAGGTATCAAGGAGGAAGGAGATCAACCATCCACGAGCAGCCGCTGTACCGTTGCAGGCTGACCTTTACGTTACGCCCTACTTGGTGCGATGCAGCAAGCACAGAGAGGGCGAGGCACGGAGGGAAGCAGAGAGGGCCTCAGCAAGCGGCGGTGTAAGTCCACAACTCGTGGGGGAATTGTGTCGTGGGTGACTTCTGAGTCCAGCAAGCCGAGCCGTGGGTGACGTTTGAGTCGACTTGAAAGTCATGTCTGTGTCTGTACTCAGCAAGCCGCACTGTAAGGCCTTACTGGCTGTTACGTACAGGTGGACGAGATTGGTGAGGGCGGAGAGAGAGGCAGGGAGCTCTGCTGCAGTGAGGTTGATGTATGCGAGGGAACTGGTAAGAGTAAAGAGGAGGAGGAAAGAGAGGAGAGACCAGAGAGCGGAGAGGAGAACAGGGGAGAGGAGAATTAAAAGAAAAAGAGTGAGGGGAGGAAACGTGAAGACAGGATTTAGAATAGTGACGCCAACCTCTGAGTAGCGGCGCGAATTGGAGGGAACAGTGCAGCGGCATAGAGCACATACTAAAGGAAAGGTCAAGGGAGAAAGAGCAAGCAGGCGGGAGGGACACACAGCGGCCCTCAACCTGGTTACCTAGTCAAGGTGAAAGAAACCCCACTCTCTGAACTGAATGCACACCTCCTCTCATTCCTCTCACACACCGATTGTCGACACACTCTCATCCCTGTTGTCGACACCTGTACGCTCCGGTGGGCGAGAGGGCAGAGCAGGGAGGGAAGGCATCAGGAATCTCCCCAGTGAGCAGGGTGTAACTCACAGGTATGAGAGGGCGGTGGCTTTGCCGAGGGCAGCAGGAATCTCCCCAGTCAGCTTAGTGCCGAGCAGATCACTGCCGTGTGTGGGGAGGACAGATGGGGAGTTGAGTGCGCTTGTGTGAGACCAAGGGTACGAGGGGATAATACAAAAGCGATTGAGCGGCGGGCGGGCATATGAGGGAGGAATGAAATGAACAGCCGCGCAATCTTGAGAGTTCTCTAAAGGGGATCCAGTGCACAAGGAGAAGTGAAGTGGAGAGGAACGGGGGCGTACAGGTATTGCAAGGCGGGCAGGTAGGCAAGAAACTCCAGGCTGCCGGTCAAAGGGCTGAAGGAGAAATCGCTGCAGGGCGGTGGGGTGCAGAGGGTTGGAGGGAGATGAGGACCATCGGTCACACGATGAAGGAGAGAGAGCAAGGGAGTGGGAGGCGAGTATGGATGGTGACGGGACCTGACGGTGCGAGTTGTGGAAAACGAGAGAGAGAGGCACGGCTCACAGTTCCTGGAGAGCGGTGAGGTTGCAAAATGCGTTCGTGGGGATGGGGCCCGTTAGGCCCAGGCGGGCCAGGTTCCTGGTGATACGCAGGAGAGTGGGGAGAATGGGGAAGGGGCGTGGTGGGTAACGTTGCTGGCACGCACAAGCAATATGAGCTACTTGCCTAATCACTGGGGAGAACATGCATCAGCAGGAGAGGAGAAGAAAGGAGAGGAGATGAGAGGAGAGTGTCTTCTTTTTCTAGGGTTGAGAAAAGGAGACGGGAGGAAACGTGAAGACAGGGAAGCCATAGTGAAAGCAACCGCTAAGTAGCGAAACAAATTGGATTGAACAGTGCAACGATATAGAACACACACTAGAGAGGAACTGCGGAGCCAAGGCACAAGAGAAAACAGAGAACACAAGTGGGAGGGAGGGACACACCAGTGCACGTGGCCCTCAACTTGGACATGACAAGAACAAAAACCCACGGTCTGAACTAACATGCATGCTTCCTCTCCTGCCTTTCACACACCTCCCCTGTTGTTCACACCTGTACGCTCCGGTGGGCGAGAGGGCAGAGCAGGGAGGGAAGGCCGTGACTCACAGGTATGAGAGGGCGGTGGCTTTGCCGAGCGCAGTGGGGATCTCCCCAGTCAGGTCAGTGGCAAGCAGATCACTGCCGTGTGTGGGGAGGACAAATGGGGAGTTGAGTGCGCTTGCGTGAGACCAAGGGTAAGAGGGGATGGATAATACAAGAGCGATTGAGCGGCGGGCAGGCATATGAGGGAGGAATGGAATGAACAGCCGCGCAATCTTGAGAGTTCTCAAAAGGGGATCCAGTGCACAAGGAGAAGTGAAGTGGAGAGGAACGGGGGCGTACAGGTATTGCAAGGCGGGCAGGTAGGCAAGAAACTCCAGGCTGCCGGTCAAAGGGCTGAAGGAGAAATCGCTGCAGGGCGGTGGGGTGCAGAGGGTTGGAGGGAGATGAGGAGAAGGCTTATCAGAAAGAGAACCATTGGTCACACGATGAAGGAGAGAGAGGAAGGGAGTGGGAGGCAAGTATGGATGGTGACGGGACCTGACGGTGCGAGTTGTGAAAAACGAGAGGAACTACGGAGCCAAGGCACAAGAGAAAACAGAGAACGCAAGTGGGAGGGAGGGACACACCAGTGCACGTGGCCCTCAACTTGGACATAACAAGAACAAAAACCCACGTTCTGAACTATCATGCATGCTTCATCTCATGCCTTTCACACAACAGGTACGTTGGTCTAATGTACTGGTTGAACCAACTAACCGGTTGGTTCAATGGACCGGTTTGACCAATTGGCCTGTTGGACCAATGGACCGGTTGAACCAACTAGCCTGTTGGTTCAATGGACCGGTTGGACCAACTTGCCTGTTAGTCTAATTGACCGGTTGGGCCAACTAGCCTATTGAACCAATTGACCGGTTTGACCAACAAGTCTGTTAAACCAGTGGACCGGTTGGACCAACTAGCCTGCTGGCCCAATACACCAGTTGGACCAACTAGCCTGCTGGCCCAATGGACCGGTTGGACCAACTGGTCTGTTGGACCGATGGACCGATTGGACCCACTGGCCCGTTGGACCAATGGACCGGTTGGACCAACTGACCCGTTGGTCTAATGGACCGGTTGGACCAATTGGCCTGTTGGCCCAATGGACCGGTTGAATCAACTGGCGTGTTGGTCCAATAGACCGGTTGGACCAACTTGTTGTTCACAGTTCCAGTGGACGAGAGGGCAGAGCAGGGACGAAAGGCCGTGACTCACAGGTATGAGAGGGCGGTCGCTTTGCCGAGCGCAGTGGGGATCTTCCCAGTCAGCTCAGTGGCGTGCAGATCGCTGCCGTGTGTGGGAAGGACAGACGGGGAAATGAGTGCGCTTGCGTGAGACCAAGGGTATGAGGGGATGGATAATACAAAAGCGATTGAGCGGCGGGCGGGCATATGAGGGAGGAATGGAATGAACAGCCGCGCAATCTTGAGAGTTCTCAAAAGGGGATCCAGTGCACAAGGAGAAGTGAAGTGGAGAGGAACGGGGGCGTACAGGTATTGCAAGGCGGGCAGGTAGGCAAGAAACTCCAGGCTGCCGGTCAAAGGGCTGAAGGAGAAATCGCTGCAGGACGGTGGGGTGCAGAGGGTTGGAGGGAGATGAGGAGAAGGCTTATCAGAAAGAGAACCATTGGTCACACGATGAAGGAGAGAGAGGAAGGGAGTGGGAGGCAAGTACGGATGGTGACGGGACCTGACGGTGCGAGTTGTGAAAAACGAGAGGAACTACGGAGCCAAGGCATAAGAGAAAACAGAGAACGCAAGTGGGAGGGAGGGACACACCAGTGCACGTGGCCCTCAACTTGGACATAACAAGAACAAAAACCCACGTTCTGAACTAACATGCATGCTTCATCTCATGCCTTTCACACAACAGGTACGTTGGTCTAATGTACTGGTTGAACCAACTAACCGGTTGGTTCAATGGACCGGTTTGACCAATTGGCCTGTTGGACCAATGGACCGGTTGAACCAACTAGCCTGTTGGTTCAATGGACCGGTTGGACCAACTTGCCTGTTAGTCTAATTGACCGGTTGGGCCAACTAGCCTATTGAACCAATTGACCGGTTTGACCAACAAGTCTGTTAAACCAGTGGACCGGTTGGACCAACTAGCCTGCTGGCCCAATACACCAGTTGGACCAACTAGCCTGCTGGCCCAATGGACCGGTTGGACCAACTGGTCTGTTGGACCGATGGACCGATTGGACCCACTGGCCCGTTGGACCAATGGACCAGTTGGACCAACTGACCCGTTGGTCTAATGGACCGGTTGGACCAATTGGCCTGTTGGCCCAATGGACCGGTTGAATCAACTGGCGTGTTGGTCCAATAGACCGGTTGGACCAACTTGTTGTTCACAGTTCCGGTGGACGAGAGGGCAGAGCAGGGACGAAAGGCCGTGACTCACAGGTATGAGAGGGCGGTCGCTTTGCCGAGCGCAGTGGGGATCTTCCCAGTCAGCTCAGTGGCGTGCAGATCGCTGCCGTGTGTGGGAAGGACAGACGGGGAAATGAGTGCGCTTGCGTGAGACCAATGGTATGAGGGGATAACACAAAAGCGATTGAGTGGCGGGCGGGCATATGAGGGAGGAATGACATGAAAAGCCGCGCAATCTTGAAAGTTCTCAAAAGGGGACCTAGTACACAAGGAGAAGTGAAGTGGAGAGAAACGTACAGGTATTGCAAGGCGGGCAGGTAGGCAAGAAAGTCCAAGCTGCCGGTCAAATCGTTGGAGGAGAGATCGCTGCAGGGGGTTGGTGGGTGCAGAGGGTTGGAGGGAGATGAGGAGAAGGCTTATCAGAAAGAGAACCATCGGTTACACGACGAAGGAGAGAGAGGAAGGGAGTGGGAGGCGAGTATGGATGTTGATGGGACCTGAGGGTGCGAGTTGTGGAAAACGAGAGGAACTGCCAGCCAAGGCACAAGAGAAAACAGAGAACACAAGTGGGAGGGAGGGACACACCAGTGCACGTGGCCCTCAACTTGGACATAACAAGAACGAAAACCCACGGTCTGAACTAACATGCATGCTTCCTCTCCTGCCTTTCACACACCTCCCCTGTTGTTCACACCTGTACGCTCCGGTGGGCGAGAGGGCAGAGCAGGGAGGGAAGGCCGTGACTCACAGGTATGAGAGGGCGGTGGCTTTGCCGAGCGCAGTGGGGATCTCCCCAGTCAGGTCAGTGGCGTGCAGATCACTGCCGTGTGTGGGGAGGACAGATGGGGAGTTGAGTGCGCTTGTGTGAGACCAAGGGTATGAGGGGATGGATAATACAAAAGCGATTGAGCGGCGGGCGGGCATATGAGGGAGGAATGAACTGAACAGCCGCACAATCTTGAAAGTTCTCAAAAGGGGATCCAGTGCACAAGGAGAAGTGAAGTGGAGAGGAACGGGGGCGTACAGGTATTGCAAGGCGGGCAGGTAGGCAAGAAACTCCAGGCTGCCGGTCAAAGGGCTGAAGGAGAAATCGCTGCAGGGCGGTGGGGTGCAGAGGGTTGGAGGGAGATGAGGACCATCGGTCACACGATGAAGGAGAGAGAGCAAGGGAGTGGGAGGCGAGTATGGATGGTGACGGGACCTGACGGTGTGAGTTGTGGAAAACGAGAGAGAGAGGCACGGCTCACAGTTCCTGGAGAGCGGTGAGGTTGCAAAATGCGTTCGTGGGGATGGGGCCTGCGAGGGCCAGGCCGCCCAGGTTCCTGGTGACACGCAGGTGAGTTGCAGGGAAGGATAAGAGGAGACGGTTGAGGGGACGTTTGAAGGGGGGTGGATGGCCTGACGAAGGTGAGTGAGCCAAATAGAGAAGAGCGAAAGGTGTGTTTTCAAGATGTCAAAAGGAAGAAAGGATGCACACACTTGCACACGCATGCACAGGCATGCACACACGCGCGCGCGCACACACACATGCACACGCACACGCACGCGCACACGCACGCACACAGCGCCTGTTAGACCCAGCAGCAGCATACATTCCTGAACCCAGCATGTGTCTCACATCTTGGTGACCATGCCTCGGCCGTCGCATGTGACGCCCATCCACTGGGAGCACATCTCCGCCGCTTCCCACCCCATCAGCGCCACCAGCGCCGCCACTGCCAGTTCCGCCGCGGGATGGAGAGGGGAGGTGAGGGGGAGAAGGGGGGGAGAAGGAAGGAAGGGGGAGGGGGAGGGTAAGGGGGAGGCGGAGTGTGAGGGAAAGGGGAGAGGCCAGAGAGAGGGGAAAGGAGAGAGGAAGGGAGGAGAAGAAGCCTTGCGATCACGTCAGCATGGCCGGAAGGCGAAGCAATGGCGCATGCCAAAGCGGTATAGGTTTAGGTTATGACCAGGATAGTGGCTGACGTCACGTTTATATCGCGTACAAAGGCGACTCACATTGCGAGGGTGCGAGCTTCACATCGCCTGGCGGGCTCGCTGCGGCTGGCTGAGCCACTTCGGCACTCAGGCGACGAGCGACGGACGGACGACGAAATTCTGCGACGAATGTGGCATCTGTCAAAGCACGCCGCGACAGGCGCTTGGTCACCACGCTGCTGCTATGAGCGCCATCCAGAGCCGCGGTGGTGGCGGCGCCGGTGATCACGGTGGCGGGGGAGAGGAGCGCGGCGAGTAGCAGCACGCAGGCGAGGAACGCCATGGTGACGTGGCGAGGCTGATGCGAGGCGTGTTGATCTTGCTCGCGGAAACACGCGATTAGCGAAAGATGATGATGCTTTCAAAACGAGCGTGATGCGTGCGAAGCTAGCTGAGTGCGAGAGTCGCAGGTATGCGATTGCGCCAAGAATGACTCATTTAAATGACTGGAAGGCTTGGGACACTGACACTGGCGAGTGAGTCCGACTGCCCTGGATTCGCAACATTGTCCCGTCCCGAAGCCGACCAAGCCCGACGGTCCTGAACTCCTCCATGGAGCCAACTGGTGGTTCTGGCAACCCGGCAACCCTACTTGTCCCATACTTGTCCCACATGCATGACTGAAATATTCGGTGAAAATTGGTGAAATATTTGCAGCATTACGGCGTGTTGCAATTGCCGGTGCACTGCGTCGGCTCGGCACGTTTGGAAGGCTCCAGGCGGGCGGGAGGCCAAACACGAGCACTAATTCGGGGAAGGAAAGTTTGAAGATAGTGATTCGAATAGTTATTTAAGAAGGTAATATTAGGACATATATTTTTTCTGTGAGTTTCCTCTAAAAATTTTACAGCTTCTTGCATTCCTGGAGCCTTCCTGAAGACGTGCCAAGAGCCGAGCCGATGCAGTGCACCGCGAATTGCAACACGTCGTTAGGCAGCCCACGAGTTTTTCCAATTCCGTCAGAATGCCCTAACGTTATCTTGTAGCCCAGAAAATATGATATCTCACATGTCTTCCACTTAGTTCTTGTCGCGTACAAAAAAAAAAAAAAAAAAAAAAAAAAAACACTCGCGGGAAAGGTGCGCAACCAAGTGTCAGAACCATATTGTAGGCTGTAGTGGGGCACTCCTTATGGGGTACAGTACCGTTAGGTTTTGCCTATACAAGCCTTGTACTGTCCTGTTTCTAGTCATTCTCGTTTCCTACTTTGTAACATGGTTTCAAAGCAGGTTCCCTAGTGGCAGGCCCTCAGATTCGTTTTTGGCCTGTCTGATTCGTCAGACTAGTACACAATTTTAGTATGAAAATCTCAGAGTTGGTATAAAACAAGGCTGAAATTTCAGAGTGTCCTAAAAAAAAGTCTGATCATTCAAAAACAATGTATTCAATGTTTCATCGGAATGTAATCAATGTTTCATTCATCTGCTACCGAAACACACAACACTAAGGGAATTTCCGATAAAACATGCTCTGACAGGGCGAATATATGTGTCAGGGCGAATCGTGTGGTGCGAAAGAGCGAATCTGCAATGTCAGGGCGATTTTGCTATGATTGGGCGAAAATCTTGTAATATAAGGCTCGGATTTGCTGTGTCAAGGCGATTTTACGTCGACATTGCGAATCTGTTGTGACCCGTAAGTCCAAATCACCAGTCAAGGACACGTTTGTACTCTGAATGATCAGAGTACACTCTCAGAAAACTCTGAACTCTCAGAGTTAGCCTTAAAAAAGGTATGAAAATTACAGAGTTTGGGCCCAAAAAAGTCTGATTTTAACAGAGAACACTGGAAAAAAGTCTGAAATATCAGAGTTTTTTGTGCAAATCAGATAAAAAAGTCAGACTTCGTAGGACCTGCCTAGTGGGAACGTTTTTTTTTTTTTTTTTTTTTCGGGCCCACCGTGTTAGTATCTTTTTTTTACTGCCCTGCCCGAAGCGCGCATCGCGCTTGCCTCGCCTGCGCCGTCGCGCTTTCTGCCCTACGGCCGCCCTTAGCGGCCCTGCCCTTGCGGCCTGTCGCGCCCTTACCTGCGTTCCTTGCGTCGAGAGGGCGGCAGTGCGCCGCTCCTCATGTCAGAACATTATAGCTTATATATATTTGTGTAGGCTATAGTGGGGTATCCCATAGGGGGTACAACCCAATCAGGGTTTCCTATATGTACTCACTTCATTCATAGTTGATTCATTCTCGTTCTAGTTTTCTCATGGTATAGAGCAGGTTCCCCGTGGGAACTGTGCTTAGGGCCCACCACATCGAAACTTTTTTTTCTGCCCGGAGCGCGCTCCGGGCCCTCTCTCTCACTCTGTCGACCTGCCCTACGGCCCCGAGACGCCTGCGCGCGCCGTTCTTAGACGCCCGCGCGCCGCCTGTCCCGGCCCCTAGACGCCCGCGCGCCGCCCTTAGACGCCCGCGCGCCGCCAGTCTCGGCCCCTAGACGCCCGCGCGCCGCTCGTCCAGGCCCCACGCCGCCCGCACGCCGCCCTTAGCCTCCCGCGAGCCGCCCGTCTCGGTCACGCCACCCGTGCGCCGCCCGTCAGGCCCCACGCCGCCGTCGCGCCACCCTTAGGCGCTCGTGCGCTGCCCGTTCTGGCCCGTCCACGCCGTGCGCCGCCCGTCCCGGCCCCACGCCACCCGTGCGCCGCCTGTCCCGGCCGCGCACCGCCGTCCCAGCCCCTCGGCGCCCGTGCGCCGCCCGTCCTGGCCCCTCGCCACCGTCCCGGCCCCAAGCCGCCCGTGCGTCGCCCGTCCCGGCCCCCCTCCCAGCCGCGCGTGCGCCACCCGTCCCAGCCGTGCGCCGCCGTCCCGGCCCCACACCGCCCGTGCGCCACCCGTCCCTGCCGCACGCCGCCGTCCCGGCCCAACGCCGCCCGTACGCCGCTGTGACACCCAGCCGCCCGAGCCGCCCGTGCCACCCGCGTCACCCGAGCCGCCCGAGCCGCCCGAGCCGCCTGCGCCGCCCGAGCCGCCCGAGTCGCCTGAGGAGCCGAGCCGCTGGTCCCGCGGAGCTGCTGTTGCTGCTGGGCCGGCCGAGCTGCAGTGTTGCCGTGTTGCTGTGTTGCTGAGCTGCCCGACCCGTCCTGTCTGGTGAGACCGTCGACTGCTGTCATGGCAACCTCTAGTGTCCTAGCTTTTGACGCTGAGGGTCGCGCCATTGACTTTGAGGTCTGGGTCGACGACCTGCAGCTGTTCTTATAGTGCGATAGAGCAGACGGTCTTTCTCTCTTTGACCTCACCTCTGGCGCCGTCCCTGCCCCTGCTGCTGATGCTGACCCCACTGTTCGCTCCCAGTGGGCCAAACGCGATGATGCTGCACGTCTTGCTGTGCGTCGCCACCTGCCTACCGCTGAGCGCGCGCACTTTAGTCAGTACAAGAGTGCTCAGACCTTATACGACGCTGTAGTTGCGCTATACTCCTCCCCTGCCACTGCTGCACTGAGCCGCCTCATGCTACCCTTCCTCTTCCCTGACCTTGCTGCCTTTCCCACAGTCGCTGACCTCATTACGCACCTCCGTGTCAGAACATATCTATAGCTTATACTGCTGTGTAGGCTGTAGTGGGGTATCCCATAGGGGGTACAACCCAGTTAGGGTTTCATATTTGTACTGCTTTCATTCATAGTTCATTCATTCCTGTTTTCCTATTTTCACATGGTATAGAGCGGGTCCTACCTTAGGACCGTTGTTTGGGCCCACCGACGCGCGCCCCGAGGCGCGCCTTTCTTTTAGCGACCCCTCGGGTCGCCTTTTCACTCGCGGCCCCGCCGCCTCCTCTGACGCGGCTTTGCCGCCTCCCCTGACGCGGCCCAGCCGCCTCCCTTGACGCGGCCCCGCCGCCTCTTTTAACGCGGCCCCGCCGCCTCCCTTGACGCTGCCCCGCCGCCTACCTTGACGCGGCCTCGCCGCCTCCCCTGACGCGGCCCCGCCGCCTCCCCTGACGCGGCCCTGCCGCCTCCCTTGACGCGGCCCCGCCGCCTCCCTTGACGCGGCCCCGCCGCCTCCCCTGACGCGGCCCCGCCGCCTCCCCTGACGAGGCCCCGCCGCCTCCCCTGACGCGACTCCGCCGCCTCCCCTGACGCGGCCCCGCCGCCTCCATTGACGCGGCCCCGCCGCCTCCCCTGACGCGGCCACGCCGCCTCCTCTGACGCGGCCCCGCCTCTGCTGCCGACGGCCCCGCCGCTGCACTCTACGGCCCGCCGCTGCACCCTGCCGGCCCGTCGCTGCTCCTGCCGGCCCGCCGCTGCATCCTGCCGGCCCGCCGCTGCACCTACCGGCCCGCCGCTGCACCCATCGGCCCGCCGCCTCTTACGGCCCGACGCTGCACCTGCCGGCCCGACGCTGCATCTCCCGGCCGAGCCGCCCCAGCAGCCGAGCCGCCCGGGACCCGAGCCGCCCTGCCGCCGAGCCGCCCGGGAGCCGAGCCGCCCTGCACCCGAGCCGCCCAGCCGCCGAGCCGCCCGGGAGCCGAGCCGCCCTGCACCCTAGCTGCCCAACCGCCGAGCCGCCCGGGAGCCGAGCCGCCCTGCGCCCGAGCCGCCCAGCCGCCGAGCCGCCCGGGAGCCGAGCAGCTGTGCACCCGAGCCGCCCGGTCGCTGAGCCGCCTTTCTGCTGACTGCACGACCTCCCCTGCCTGGTGAGCACTGTCCCACTGACACTGCGAGCTCTTTCCCCACTGCTTGCACTGCGTCGCTGTCGTCACCATGGCTACCCCTAGTGTCCTAGCTTTTGACGCTGAGGGTCGCGCCATTGATTTTGAGGTCTGGTTAGACGACCTGCAGCTGTTCTTACAGTGCGACAGGGCTGACGACCTTTCTCTCTTTGACCTCACCTCTGGCGCCTCTCCTGCCCCTGCTGCTGATGCTGATCCCGCTGTCCGCTCTAAGTGGGCCACCCGCGATGCTGCTGCACGTCTTGCTGTGCGTCGCCACCTCCCTACCTCTGAGCGTGCGCACTTTAGTCAGTACAAGAGTGCTCAGACCTTGTACGACGCTGTAGTTGCGCGCTACTCCTCCCGTGCCACTGCTGCACTGAGCCGTCTCATGCTTCCCTACCTCTTTCCTGACCTCTCTGCCTTTCCCACTGTCGCTGACCTCATTACGCACCTCCGCACTAGTGACACTCGCTACCGCGCCGCCCTTCCTGCTGAGTTCTGCGCTAAGAACCCCCCCCCCATGTACATCGCTCTCTACTACGTAGTCGCACGCCTCCCTGACTCCCTTCGCGTCGTCAGGGACCACTTTCTCGCAGTCTGTCCCACCACTCTCACCGTCGACCTCCTCGAGAAGG